CCTGCACATCGTATGATGCCCTCTTTACAGATGTGCAGGGTGAGGCTCATGGTGGCTCTGCCAGCCCTCCAGGGTCACACAGCCCAGAGACTCACACCCAGACCCTGGTGGCTGCCCTCCTACCTCATTGGCAGGGCACAGGTGAAATCTGAAGGACACCATAGCAGGCTCAGTAGCGCAGGAAGGGCCAGACCTGTGGCTCCCACCAGCTAGACCCATTATGCCAAGCCTGGGGAGGCAGGTGGTGGGCCACGTAGACACGAGACCCTCCCCAGCTCCTCCACACAGCAGCCATGTACCTTGAGCCAGTCATTTCACCCCCACCTGTAGAACAGGCCAGTAATAGAGCTGAGTGAAGATACGTATTCATATATAACAATAGTCAACATTTATCAAGTTCCTGTGTGCCAGGTACTGCTCTAAGCACTTTACAGGTACAGTATCATTTAATCCTCACTGCAACCTTATGAGACGGACCCTATTCATATCCCCATTTCACAGATGAGAAAACAGAGGCACAGAGAATCACAGAGCTGGAAAATGGCAGAACAGGAATATGAACTGAGAACAGGCTCAACCTAAAGCCCAGGCAAGGCCGGCTCCTCCAAAGAGGAAGTGCTTCACACCATGCCAGGCATGTGGCACTGCTCAGTGACGTGACTATTGAGGCCATAATAACCATCATTGTCACTGGGGAAAATTTGGCCCTGGCAACGCTGTCTTCCCAAAAGTCAGAAAAATAATGAACACCCTGATGTGTTTTACTAAACTCTATCATTTCTTCTGCTTAGAAGTAAGTGGACAATCAACAAGTGCTCAAGATAAATATGTGTTATACTGAAATATTTTGTGATCTTTTTGGAAAATACAAAAGGGGTTGGGGGAGCCCCACAGTCCCACACCTTTCTTTCACGTTTCTGTGCATGTTTATTTTTATTTTCGTTCACAGTTGTGAACATGCTGTGAGAGATTTTTGGATTCTGTGTCTTCCATTCAGCATAATTCTATGAGCTTTCCCCCATGAGAATGTTGAATGGCTACAGAATATTCTGTCAAGCGGATGTCTTCCTTGCAACCCCTTCCTCACTGTCTCCAGTGAGGAAAACATCCTTGGGAATAAATGTTCTCTTTTTATTTGATGTGACGTGGAGAGGTGAATTCCTAAGAGGACTCTCTGAAACCAGTAAGCCGGGACTGGGGGAGGTTCATGGAACAGAAGGCCCTTCCTGGTGTCCTGCTGATGACACTGTGTTGGCCATTGTGTATTTCATCCACGCTTAAGGCCTCCTTCCTTGAAAGTATTTTGAAACCCCAGCTTCTGGGCTGAAGCTTTCTTCTCATCTGCCAAACGTGCCCCTGCCACCTTAAGGTCAGAGACCTGAGATCTTATCTTCATCCTGACACTAACAGGTTGCAGGACCTTAATATGTCACTCCTATGAGGACTCTTCTTCTTTTTTTTTTTTTTTTTTTTTTTTTTTTGAGACAGAGTCTCGCTTTGTTGCCTAGACTAGAGTGAGGGCCATGGCGTCAGCCTAGCTCACAGCAACCTCAAACTCCTGGGCTCAGGCGATCCTCCTGCTTTAGCCTCCCGAGTAGCTGGGACTACAGGCATGTGCCACCATGCCCGGCTAATTTTTTCTGTATATATTAGTTGGCCAATTAATTTATTTCTATTTATTACAGACGAGGTCTCACTCTTGCTCAGGCTGGTTTCGAACTCCTGATCTCAAGCAATCCGCCCGCCTCGGCCTCCCAGAGTGCTAGGATTAGAGGCGTGAATGAGGACTCTTCTGATCAGGTAAGGGATGGAGCACCCCTTCAGTGAGAAGACCTAATGAGAGAGTCTAGTCCCAGCTCTGTCCCTAAGTTGCTGTGAACCTAAGTTCCCTGTTAAGCACTTTGGCTCAGTTTTGGCATCTCTTATGCAGGAGGTTGAAGTGGTCAGACCATCAGGCAGGCAGAGATGAGCTCATTGGTATCCACTTGCCTTATCTAGCCCCACTAGACTAGGTATCCCTAGAGGACAAAGATCCCAGTACCCAGCACAAACTCAAAAATAGGGCTACACCATGAATAACCCCCAATGACTGAACAAATAAGCAACTTCCTCTGTGCGAGCAGCAAAACATTGTTCTCCAACCAATAAGTCTACCTAAGTTATAGTTATAGTCTATAGATATAGGCTAAATCTCACCATCATATTCATTCATTCATTCATTCATTCAGGATTTACTGAATTACCTTAGGTTCGGGCTGTGCCAACTTCTTGAACTCATCTTCCTCTGCTCTTTGCTCTTCCTCAGCTGGCCCAATTTCATTCCTGCCTTTGAACTTGTGAAGCCTCTGCTTGGAGCACTCTTTCTTTGGATCCTCCCGTGGCTGGCTCAAGTCTCAGCTCGAATGTCATCCCTCCCAGGAGACCCTTGCTGGCCACCCTGTTTTAAGGCATTATCACTCTCCATCATCTCACCCTGTTTTGTGGCAGCCCTGGACAAATATTTGAAAGGATATTGTTGATTTAAGGCTTTCCTTGTTTATGTCCATACACTTTCCCTTGAACATCAGCTCCCAGAGAGGAGAGATAAGGGATGTCTAATTCACCACTTATTCCCCAGAATCCCACAAACATGTGATAAATGAGTGCTGGATGCTACAGGCACAACTGTACATATAGAACCCCCATGCAGTGAGCACCTACTATGCGCCAGTCTCCATTCCAAGCCCTCTCTATGTAGCAACTCTTGTAATGCTCCCAACAACCCTGAGGCAGCCATAATTATTATTCCCATTTTATAGCTGGGAAAACTGAGGCACAGAGAGGTTGAATAACTTGCCCAAGATCCCATGGCTAGTAAGTATGGGAGCTGGAAGACCCCAGTGCACACTGTTAAGAGAGTGTTGAGCTACACATGGAACGCAGTCCTTGTCCTCATGAAGCTCAAGGATTAATGGGTGGGCTGGTCCAGTCCATAGTGATGGCAGTCAGGGACACTTCCTGAAGGAAGTGATGCCTCAGCTAAGTCTTCAGGACACGTAGGGGTTTGCTAGGATGAAATAGAGGCAAGGACACTCTGGGTGGCAGGAATGGTGGCAGACCAAGAGAACACGAAGACTGAAGTACTGGGGTCAGCTCCTGTGGCTGGAGTAGAGAACACAGGTGTGACCTGAGGCAGGGGTGCGGTCACCTCAACTCTCAGTGACTGAGGTTAAAAAAGTCCTGGGGACACAATATGAGGCAATACAACTGGAAAGATGGTCAGGGACCTCCAGATAAGGCAGGACCTTGGCAAGATCAAGGGCCCAAATTTCATTCTGAGGCTTCTAAGCCACACCCCAAGGAGCATGGTAGGCTGACTCAGTGGTACCCAGAGGCCACTGAGGTCCCTGGCAATTGCTGCCAACTCACTGTGTGAACTCAGGCACCTCCTTGCCCTCTTTAGGTCTTAGCCTCCCAACTGGTATTGGCTGACCCAGTCCCAAAGGGAAATCCTCACTCCACCAGCCTTGCAGCCCATAAATGAAGTGCCATTGCCCAGTGAGAGCCTGGCAGTCCTAGAGTCGCATTGGGGAACTCCTATGCACCGGCCATCCCACACTTGCTGAGGCCACCCACCACCACCATGGAGCTTTGGCCAGCAAGGCTGAGTTCTCCTGCTCTTAGGTCCTGCCAAGATGTGGGGGCTCCCCCAGGCTTGGGTGCAATTGGAGGGGTTCTGCTCAGATCCTTCCAGAGACAAAGGAGCTGACCTGCAAAGAGTTCCAGCAGGAGCCCCGCTCCCCCTCCCTTCCCCCCTCTCCCTTCCCGGTCCACGTGTCTCTATTGTCTGCTCCCCGCTTCAGGGAAAGACACAGCCTCGGATGTGTCAAAACCACCACCCCCCCAGCAGCAGGAAAATTAATTACTGGACGATTTTCACTTCCTCTTGCAGCGCCGGCCTGAGCTAGGCACCGGAACAGGACCGCTGAGCGAGGCCAGGCGGCGGCGTGGGGGACTCATTCCCCCACCAGTTCTGGGAGAAGAAAGTTGAACCCCAAACCCAACAGGGGGCTCCAGCGCCAGCCCAAGCAGTGAGGGGCAGGGGGAGGCTTCCTCTAGTTAAAGCTGAGTGTCCACAGCGGCCACTTCGGGACGGGGGAGCGGGAGGGGACTGGAGGTGGGAGGGCTGCGCCGGCGAGCGCACCTCTTTCCTGCGCGTCGCCTTCCCTGGGTCCCCATGTGCTCAGACGCTCTCCCTCCGCTGCCCTCAGCTTCTCCCTCTATTTTGCACTTTTCTTTTCCTTTCTTTGCATCCCTGGGGGAGCTTCCTTTTTGTGTGTCTGGATCGCTCTTTCCCGTGTGTGTGTGTGTGTGTGTGTGTGTGTGTGTGTGTGTGTGTGTGTTGCTACTTCTCTCCATCTCTGTCTTTCTTCTCTCTCTGTTTCTCTCTTGTGTCTTTTTGTCCTTATCTTGGTCTCTCTGCTTCTATTTCTACCTCTTTCAGCGTGTGCGTCTTTCTTTCCCTGTATGTCTCTCTGTCTTTCTCCGCGTCTCTCTTCCCCGTCTTTCCCCCCACTCCCCTTTCTCTGTCTCTCTGTCTCTCTGCACCTTTCTCGCCCTCACTTTCTCCCCTCCTGCCTGCCCGCTGCTCCCTGCGCCTGGCCTGCCCCCACCGCCGCCGGTTCAGGGGAACGTGTGCGGAGCGATTGTCCTGGGGGACATTTGATGGATTAGAGCGCTGAACAGTTCCATTGCTAGGGGACCACCTGATCTCCTCCAGCCTGCGTCCCATATAAAGCCGGCAGCCGGAGTGCTGAGCACAGCTCCAGCGACCGCCTGTCTGTGCGCCGCCGCCGCCAAGCCCGAGCGGGAGCCGGAGCCCGAGCCCGGGCCGCCGCCACCCGAGCCGGCTCCGAGCTGCCGCCCGCCCGCCCGCCCGCTGGGAGCTGTCCAGTGCTGAAACCCCGCGCGGACAGCCAATCGCGCCGGCCGGCCGCCTCCCCCCACCGGGGCCCCACGCAACTGCGCCCGCCGAGCCCCCCGCCGGCTGCACCATGCCGCGCTCCTTCCTGGTGAAGAAGATCAAAGGGGACGGCTTCCAGTGCAGCGGGGTGCCGGCCCCCACCTACCACCCCTTGGAGACCGCCTACGTGCTGCCTGGTGCCCGGGGGCCTCCCGGGGACAACGGTGAGTGGGACCCTGCAGGGCGGGAGGGGGGAGGCGAGGGGAGCCGGGGCCTTCCCTAACTTGGGCCACGAGGAGGGGCGCGCGCGGCAGGAAACCCCGGGAGAAAATCTCGCTGGCCGTGTGCGCCTCCCAGGCTTCCCGAGGGCCAGGCGGGCGGGGCAGGGGCTAGGATGTACAAAGGGAAAGTCGCAGGGTCGGCCCATCCCGCAGCCACGCGCCAGCCGCGACTTTGAAAGTTGTGGCCCTAGAACAGGGCTGGAGGGAGGGGGTGATGGGAGAACAGAGAGACAGGACCGCTCAGGAAGGGCCATGCTGAGGGGGCCAATGCACGAGGCAGTTCGAGGGTCCCCTCTCCCGGTTGAGAAAGAGAGGCTGGCTGCCTGAGCGTGCCCTCCCGGCGGGGAATGGAAAGGGGCCCGGACTCAGTCCCTGGGGAGTTGGGGGTGGCTCCCTGGGGCTAGCTGGAGGCGCCCTCCCTCCCTTCAAACCTGTTCCCGCTGGCAAAGCCACACAAGTGCGCTCAGACCCCCTCTCTCAACAACTCTTTTGTTACCCTCAGCCACATGCCTGCCAAAGGCTGTGCCTGTCCTGGGGACTGCAAGGAAGAGGAGATATCTGGGAGGGGTTCCCCCAAAGTGGCTCCTGCTCCCCTGGGCTGCCCTCCCTCCCCATCTCCATCTTCTCACGACCACCCCAGCCAGCCCTGCTACTCCTTGCAACCCCCCCCCCCACACACACACACTCTCCATCTCTTCTCAGAACAAGTTCCTGCAGGGAGAAGGGTTTGGGGGACGAGAGAGGTCATTCTGGCCAGAAGGGATGATCTCTGGAAGGTAGGGAGAAGAAGTAGGGACTGCTTCTGTGGACCCCATCCTCCATGGAGGGGATTCCAGAAATGTTCTCCTCTGAGGACCCCACTAGGGCAGGTGTCTGTCGAGGAGGCGTCCCTTGGTAGTGAGAGTTCTGACATCACATGTGGCATCAGCTTTGGGTGTGTGTGCGTGTGTGCGTGTGTGTGTGTGTGTGTGTGTGTGTGTGTGTGTGTGTTGTGAAGGGGGAGACAGAGGGAGGGGGAGAGAAAGGAGGAGAGAGAGAGAGAGAGAAAGAGGAAAAGGAGGAAAGAAAGGGCTTAAGATTGGGGGGAGCTGAGATGGCAAAGACAGGAGCCTGGGGGGTGGGGGCTCCCACAAGCCCTTCGCCCACATTCCGTCACTCTGCCTCTGCCTCGACAGGTAGAGAGGGGGTGCTGGGCAGAGGGCTCTGTGACCTCATCAAGGTCAAAGAAGTTAGGGAGTGATCAGCGACACAGCTCCAGCCCCTCAGCCCCTGGCCTCCCCAGATCTCCAACAGAACCCCCTTCTCTGCCCCATGTCCCTTATTCTACTGTCCTCTTTTCTTGACCCCAGGGCTTCTTGAGGCCGAGGACGGAAGCCCAGGGATATGGCTGGGCTGGGCTGAGGGCTGGCAGGACAGAGGGTGGACCTGGGGCTGTGCCAAGGCTAGGGAGTGTGCTCTGGGAGCTGGTAGAAACTGAAATATCTGCAAGACTGGGACATGGATACCTTAGGGGACTGACAAAAAGCTCTGGGTTCTCACCCATGGAACACCCCTCCCCAGCCCTTGGTCCTGTCCCTAGGCCAGCAGAGGAAACCCAGAGAAGCCCAGAGAATTTCCCATGCACAGCCAAAACTGCAGGCTGTTCCTCAGAAAGGAGGCAAGAGAATGCCTTGCCTTGAATTCAGTCCAAAAAAGCTTTGAAAGGAGCCCCCGAGTGAACAGTGGGAAGCAGGGTGGGGGCAGAGCCACCAGCGGGGTGTTTCTGTGGAGGTTCCACCAGGTTTAACGTCCTAGAACCACCTTTGTCTTTGTCCCTTTCCCCAAAGGTCTCCAGACCAACTTCCTGGTCTCTAGGGGATCCTGGGGCTGTCCTGATAGCCAGATGCCTGGCATGGAACTCGGAAGCCTGGGCTCTAACATCTCTGATTTGCTGTGTGACCTTGGGCAAGTGCCTTCCCTTCTCTGGTCCTCAGCCTTCCCAGCAGTGAAAGAGTTTGGATGGCATGAACTAAGCAGCCTTCCAAGTCTGACAAGCTCAGCTTCTGTGAAGGTCAATTATGGGGTGGGAGGTATTGGATGAGGGTCTAACAGAAAGCGGGGAGGCCATTGTCAGTGTTTCCTTAGGGCTCCATTGAGCATACGCCACCTGGCTGAGGGTGGCGGAGTTTCTGGGATCAGGCAATTTTCTTGGCTTTAGTCTCTACAGGCTGCCCCATGGTGAAGACAGGTACCCTGGCCTGGCCACCTTGGCAGTGTCTGCAGTGCATGGTCAGTGCCAGAGATGGGGGGTGGTGGCTCTTCAAGCCTGAGGATGACTAGGAAATACAGCGTCTGCCGGGTCCTGTTTTCAGGAACCTCTCCCCTCTCCGGGGTGTGGCCACACTGGGCAGTGAGGGATCCCTCATTCCGTGGTGGGTGGAGGGTACGGAGGGTCCTCAGAGAGCCTGCCAGCTCCTGGTGGCCTGTTGTCTCCGCTCTGCCGGAAATAACCTTGCTGAGCATTTGAGGGAAGTGTGAAAAATTGCTGAGCCGACGTTTTTCTCTCCCAGCGTGTGTAAGTGTGCTGGGTAAACAAGGAGAAAGAGAGGAGGGGGGAAGATGAGGAGAGGGAGGGAGGAGAAGGAAGGGAGGGAGCCAGGGAGGGAGGGAGGAAGGGGGAGGGCCCGGGGCTGGAGATAGTTCCAGTTATTAGAAAGATCTTCTTACAAGCCATTCCTGCAGCTCTGGCTGCAGGGTCAGGATGAGGCTGATGGGAGGGACCCTGGGGATGGGGGGCTCAAGCAGGAGTGGGGGGAGCTTATAAATGTGGAGCTTAGAGGAACCACAGGCTCCTGACTGATAAAGATGCAGGACCCCACATTAAAGAGGTTTACCCCTAGCTCTGGAAATGCTAGAGGATTCCTACACACACACACACACACACACACACACACACACACACACACACACACACACTTTGCCGCCTTGCTCCCTTCCTTTTCAGCCCCTGCCGCCAGCAGGGAAAGGGTGCAGCAGGTGTGTCTGTGCTCCAGGCTCCCCCAGACCCACAGAACCCCTACACAGAGAAGGGAAGCTCCCAGAGTGGGGAAAGCTCAGTCTCCCTGCAGAGCCTCCCCACCCCGACGAGGGGAATAAGATCTAACTGCATTGTCCCCTCCAATAAAATGCTTCCTTTCTCGCCTCTGCCTCCCTTGCTCCTCCACTGATATCCCTCCCTTCTCCCCCTCGGGGTGGTTCTGAGCTGGACTCAGTCTTTCCGGAGGTGCTGCCCACTCTCATCCTCCTAACCCTCTCGGGACCTCCCCCTCCAGCTCCACCAAGCCCACCCCTCACAGACCTGCGCCCCATCCTGAGGGATGCTGGACTCTCAGCCACCCCAGGCGGCTCATCCATCTGCATGGCAGTGGTCTCCGTGGGCCCCTGCCAAGGATGTCTCCTGGAGAGGCCACCTCCCCTCACACTGGAACTCTGAGCTCCAGCTGGGAGCCAGGCCCCCCTTCCTCGCCCCAGCCGCTGTCCCACCCCCATCCCCTCCCAGAGTGCATCTGACCCAGGCAGAGGAGGGATCAATGCCAATCCAATAACGCAGTTGTCTGCCCTCTGCAGCTACATTAAGCCTCACCCAGCAGGCTGAGGAAGCTCTCCTACTTCTACCCACGGGCTTATCTGGTTGACCACATTATACCAGTGCCCACTTCCTCTCACTCCCTCTGATGGCGCCGGGTAGGCGCCCCAGGCCAAGCCTGGGAGCCCAGCCGAGTGTCCCCAGCTGTCACACATCCACCCCATACCTCAGACAGTCTATCTGGGGAGCAGAGATGCAAAAGGGCTACCCCAATCCCTTGGAAGAGGGAGCCCAGAGAAGGCTAGAGAGGTGCTCAAGGACACACAGCAGGCCCTTCTGAGTCTCCCATAACTGCCTCTTCCCCTGGTGTCTTGGTCTTAGTCCAAGTCCAAGGTCCAGGTTAAAGATATGTCAGAGGCCCAGGTTCAAAGTCTAGGTCCAGGCCCAACATCCAATCCAGTCCAGCATCCAGGCACAGACCTCAGATCCAGTTCCTATATCTATGTCAAGCCTCAGGTCTAGGACCAGGCCCAAGGTCTAGGTCCAAGGTCAATGTCTGAGGTTATAGGTCCAGGTCTGATTTCAGGAAAAATCCGCGTACAAGTTCAATTTTCAATATCTAGGAACAGGTCCAGGTAAACGTTCTGGGTCCAGGAATGAGATCCAGGTCCAGTTTCCAGTCCAAGGTCATGTCCAGATTCATTCTCAAGGATGGCTGTGTTCAAGTCTTAGACCCACTATTAGCTTTCTGTGTGGCCTTGGCTTAGTCTCTCCCCCTTCCTCTAGCCTCAGTTTCCCTCACATGAGATCAAATAGTTGAATATGATCTCTTTCAGCTCTGACCTTGGCAACCCATAAATCGAATTTTCCAATGAATTAACAGGGCTCAGTGGGAGTGGAATGACAGGGCCCATGTGAGATGTGGAATCTGGGGGCCCATGATTGCCGCTGAAGCCTGGGGTCACCAGGAGGACATGTGGGGCCCAGGCCACGCTTCCATGCTTTGGACAGAATCTGTGATTGTTGAGGGAAGTCAGGAGAGTCCGCCAGGTCCCTTATGTCAGGGTGGCAATCTACACACCCCAAAGGCTCTCAGGCAACACTCACTCAGTGGGTGAAGGGCAGAGAGGGCAGGGAAAGAGTAGCTGCAACCTACGGAGGTCATGGAGGGCTTGTGACTTGCCCAAAGTCACAGGAGCATAAATGGCAGGCCCTGTTACACCTCCCTGGTGGGTGCTACACCCACAGGTTCCAGGGTCCCCCACAGCCTGGAGGCCCTCTGCCAAAAGAGGTGAGGCCACCAGACTTCTCGGTCTCCTTCCCAACTGTGGACACCATTGGAGTGAAGTGTCCCCTGCCAGCCTGTGGGTAGTGAGGG